CAGCGGGTTCAGTGATGCCCTCATCTTCACCTTCCTGCAGTCTTACAAGCCGGTATATAAGCAATGGGGGTTTGGACCCGTGCGAATCGGACTGGCTTTCATTCCGTGAGTATCGCGTCGAGTGCGGTCAAACCGTCAAGTTGTCAAGCCCTAACCGCTGTAGAATCATCATCGGATACGTAATCTCCTATGTCTCCTTTCTTCCCTGGATCTACAGACACACCAAGATCCGCAAGAGAGATCCCGACGCCCTGCTGCCCGAGGCGCGGCTGTATTGGCTGTTATTCAGTGAGTATCGTCCAGGCAATCCACTCAATATAGAGAGAGTATTCCAACTGACGCACGCAAGCGGCACCACTCGAAACGATCGGTCTGTTTGGCTTTGCCTGGACGAGTTTGGGTCCGCCGCATGTGCACTGGATAGCGCCGATGATATTCTCGACCTGTATCGCGATAGCCAATGTAAGTGGAAACCTAATCAACTGTTTTTTTATTAATGTCGTCATAGTATGCCATCTACATGGCGACAATCGACTACATGATCGCCAGTTACGGACCATACTCTGCGTCAGCGACAGGCGGAAACGCACTAGCTCGCGACCTCCTCGCAGGGATCGCAGCCATGTATTCTACGCCGAGTGAGTGACAACCTTTCAAAAAACTAATAGCAAACGGAGGCAAGAAAACTTACTGACTGTGCACAGTGTACGAACACATGGGCACAACCCTCCATCTGGAGTGGCCATCCACTCTTCTCGGCTGCGTCGCCATCATCATCACCGCGCCGATTTACATCTTCTACTGGAAGGGTCCCACGATCCGCGAGCGGTCCAAGTTCGCGCAGACGCTGGCCAGCGATCGTCGGAAGAAGGGCGAGTTGGAGGTTCGCTGTGGTTCGAGTCAGCCGGGGCCGGAGGTGGCGTATAACGTGTGACGGCAGAGTGAGTTGCAAGTAAGTTGTGGAGTTGTCTCCTTAAATATTTTCTTAAGGGACAGCAAACTCTCCCGGAGAAAATCTACGGATATGCATATATACAGGTCTGGTGAACAAGTAAAGAAAGCAGCAGGAGTATGCTATTTACTATACTATAGACTATGGTATAGTATAGTATATTAGCAGATTACTTGAAATGATATCCTCTCCTCTCCTCTGACGATCTTATTTATCTTTTCCGTAGGGACTGGCTGGCTGTGCCCTGCCAAGTAAAAATGCGCCACAATCATTATTCATGATGACATATACATACACCATAGACTTGGAACCTGAAAATAAAGTACTAGTTAAACCCGAACGAATGAACCGGAAGTTTGTTGACGAACCTGTTGTTCTCAAAACCTTAAATTTATAATAGAACTGCGGCATAGCATAGCATAGCATGCATGACATATTAATAGGATAATGATAAACCAACGTACAGAGTACTAAGTAAGTAAGTACCTAAGCTGGTATTAGTTAATAACCTTTTTTCCTTCTCCATAGGTATTGTCTATCATTATTTTCTCCCCCCTTTTTTTTAGACAGGTAATAATAAACCTCTTTCTAGAACCTATCCATTCCAGGTAATGATGACTGGACAATAATTATTAATGGCTGAGGACTGAGCATGATGATGATCAATCTGCTACTGTCTCTTTCTAAGAATTCTTTTCTTTCTTTCTATGCTTCACCATTAATCGATTAGTAAATCATTCGTACAGTAGATACCTGTCTATCTATCTATCTACCTACCCACCCATCTATCCATCTATCTATCTATCAAGTATGGTATGGTATGATATGGTATAGCATAACAGCATTAGTATACAATGCAATACAGTGCGCATTCGTTTGATAGTTCGATACTCAACCACTCTATAATAAGAAGTCAAGGACTAAATATACGTACTGTACACTACATACATACTTACGTATGTATGTACTGTACGTATTACGTTCGATCCCACAGCGCCTGCAGCTGTCGCACCCGGTACTCGGTCGCCCAGCCACAATCCGCCTCGATCCCCCGCAGCAGGTCGACCACCACCTGCCGGCCCTCCGGGCTGCTGTCGAAGCACTGCCCGACCACGAACAGTGGCTGCACCATGTGGATCCGCACCGCTGCTGCCGGCCGCCCCAGCGCCACCCCGGCGATCTCCCGGCAGCAGTGGTCGACTTCCTTGGTCGTCTCGCGGTATCCCAGCAGCCGGTCGCGCGGCGTGCTCTGCGCGTCCGGCGGCCGGTTCAGCAGCAGGATGATTCGCGCAAAGTGGTAGTGCAGCATCGTCGCTGCCCGCCCT